CCTCCCCTCCTCCTCACCCCCCACAAACGCCCTCTCAATCCCCTCCTCCCCCCTGTTAACCTGCCCCTCAAGCCCAACCTCCCCCTCCACCGCACCCAACACCCCATCCACCGGCTCCGGCGGCACCGCCGTCGCCCTCGGACTCCCCACCTCATTACACTCACTAGTCACCTTCGGAATACTCGTACAAAGCACCGTCCACTTCTCCGTCTTGCCCTTGCCAAAGACACACGAGTGCGTGATCGTCATGGGTGGATAACTCGTTCTTGTACGTGTGACGGTTAGTTTGCGAAGAGGCGTGACGGTTTCGGTGGTTGTTAGGCTGATGGTTACGGAGACGAAGGAGAAGGAGAGGGAGAGGGAGGGGGTGTTGGATGTGGAGATTGAGATTGATGTTGTGGTGATAGTTAAGGTTGAGGTTTGGGTGATGGTTGTGTTTGTGCATGGGGGTGGTTGGAGGGTGTTAGGTGGAGCGAGACCATCATCATTCCCTGATCCTGAACCTGGGGCGGGTGCGGGAGCGGGTGGTGGGTTATTGAGGAGTTTATTTAGACGGCCTGTTTGGATTGCAGATGCGATCCCGAAAGCGAGGGTAGTGAGAAGGAAGATGGCAGTAAGACCCACCATGATCCGTTCTCGTTGCGTGTTCTGTCGTCGAAACCAGTTCATGCTGTTGCGATACATTTGTTCCAAGGGACTTCTTCGTTGCTGGGGAGGCGTCCGGATACGCGTACGGGGACTTGCTGCGACGGGCGCGGGGGCAGGGGGGTTTTCGATTTGCCCTCTTGCGGGAGGACGTCCACTAAGGGGTTGCATCTCAATGGCATCACCTGACTGTCCTTGTCCTTCGATACGTCCTCCTTGCTGTCCTTGCTGACTCCCTTGTCCTTCCTCGTCGCCTTCCCAGCCTAGGAATCGACGGACCGTCGTCATGATTGTAGTCGTTACCTCCTTGCCAATCCCCGTAACCCTCGCGCCTGGCGGAACAACCTGCGAGACTCTAGTATTCGCAGGAATCTCAACCTGTTGAGAAGGGACAGGTATAACATTCTGAGGCAACGGTCTCGGCTCCGGCCTCACAATACCCCTGTCATCTCTCGTCACCAAAGACCCCGCTTGGGTGCCTTGTTGTGTGATATCCATTGAACGCCTCCTCCCATTCGAGGTCCTTCTGATTGTCGTTCCGAAGGGGTTGTTAGAAACGGGTGGAGGTCTCCTTGGACTGACGCCTGGACTTCGAACTGGACTTGCGGACTCATCATCACTGTCCTCGCCAATGACAAACGTCCCTAGGTTAGCGATGCGGTCGGCGAGGGCTTGGGATTCGGCGGCGAGGGAACTGGATTGGCCTGTACTGGTGTTTGGGTTGTTCCTCCTGTTGGGTGGGGACTTGGGACCTCATTGACGGAAGGGGTTGTTGGGGTTGTAGGACATGGTTTTGAGGCGAGGTGATTGGGAATTGACCTTGGCTACATCGCAGAAAAGCGTGTATAGTACTTGAGAAGAATTTTGAAGACTCGATAGGAGACGGGGAAGGACAAAGAAAATGTATGGGGATACGAAAACAGCTGTTAAAGAAAGTGGACAATTGACTATCATATATCTTTTGTGTGGTGCGAACAAAGAAGGAGTGCCAAGCAACATTGTTAACTTCCAAAAGCGAGAAAAAAAGTGGGAGAGGTTATTTGAAATAAGAAAACACCCCGAAAAATGAATACTTGCTCATGAATGGTCAGAGTAATTGCGAAGTGGAATTTGCAATTGTTCTGAACCTCTGACAATGATATGCTTCATTCTTCACCTCTGCCTCTGGATCGGCTGATTTCTGGATGGTGCACAGCATCTTAACACTATGGTAGGTGACGCTGGGGGGCGAGCCACGGGGGTTTGGGGGCTGGCCCCCAAAGAGAAAGAGAAAGGCAGTGAGTGACGCCTGCGGCTGGCAAGGAGTGTTGAGGGGGTGGAGGTTACGGTCTGAATTGCAGGTGATAAAAGAGAAGCGGGTGCAGGTAAGACAACAACCAGCTCGCTTAAGTCAACAGCATCAATGAAGGCAGACGAGCCCCTAGATTGAAGTTTCTCTTCCATTTCATCTCAATACAACGGATAGATATGGTTCAGTTCAACTTTCTCGCACAGCACCACCATCATCTAGAACTCTCAAAAATATCAAGCGAAAATTTCCAGCCCGTGGTATTCCAACGCCAGAACATCAAGCCCAGGAACGATGAAAAAAATCAGTAGGCCCCATCAAATAACTCCACCCACAAATGATACTCTCTAATCGCCAAGGCTCACATCACGTTAAGACTCAGGAATACCTATCTCATACCCAATCAACACCTCAGTGCTGCTTCCCTCCCATCCACGATTTCCAGCTGCCGACAGCATATATTTACAAGTAGGATCAATGTGTAACGCCGAAATGACGCCCGCCCTTGGAGGACCAGGGACAATAAGAAATGGGACGGTGGAGTGTTTGAATGCTGCTTGTTCCTTGAGGTCGTACAGACGAAGAATATCATGTGAAGCACTAGATCCGTTAATACTTTGCGCTGAAATCTTCAAATTCTGGACTTACCAAATTAAATGTCTCCCATTTGGCATTGCCCTCAGAGAACTGACTGCTCCACTGCCTTGCGGAAATTTGAATGTTCTTTCAGCATCTTTCAAACCCTTGTGTAGACTGAATTCTTCAACCGTACCATTTCTTCGACCCGCGTAAATATAATTTCCATCAGGTGACCAACAAGCTGCCATACACCATGGAGGCACACCAGTTCGTGTGGGAATTTTGGCAATTGCATTTGATTGTCTACGATCCCAAACACGCAATGTCCCATCAATTGATGCCGCGAGAAAGGTAGAGTCAGAGGTTGCCACCGCATCCTGAGTTTCGGCCACAATTGTTGCAGTGGACGCGGACTTTTCTTGTGAGGCCTCAGTATCCGGGTTGACTCCATTTGGTGGAATAGCTGGGGCTTGGCTTTCAATGGTGCTTTCGGCAGGCGCATTACTCATTGTGACATCTCCATTCGCATCTACCTGCTCTCGATTATCAAGATTCATTTCGATCGCTCGTGAAAACTCATCATCCTCGTCGCCAAAGTTGCCTCCGGATGGTGCGCCAACACCGTCCGTTTCGCCAAACAAGGATGTATCGCTTCCACCACCAAATAGCGAGTCGGCGGGTGATCCATGATTCTCTTCTTCCCCATTAGTACCATTCGTATTGCCATTTGATAATCCATGCATTTTATCACCATTATTACTCGAAAAGGTTCCATTCGTCTGGATAGGTTCACCAGATTCTTCAGGCACTGGTAGACTCGAGGCTGGACGAACTTCAATCGCGGAGATTTGACCACCACTTCCCTCAAACGATCGCTTGACCTGTCCGGTATTGAGATCCCAATCGAAAACATTCTTATCCCAGCTGCCACTCAATACTGACTTCTCATCTTGCGCCAACGTGAGTACTGACACCGCAGACTTGTGCTTTTGCAACGCCGTGATTCTCTTGCCCTCGTCGTGACGTACAGAATAGAGATTAATTGCGCCAGAATCCAGACCAGAGAGCATCCACAGCGCCTGAGAATGTACCGCTAAAGAGTAAACAGGAGAAAGAGAAGGATCTTCGCCCGCATTCTTTGCAACCGGTTCCTCATTATCCCAATAGCTCATCAAAACACCAGCCTTGACCACACTGTCCACAAAAGGATGTCGTTGAGCTACTGTCAGCAGCGTCTTGCCATTGACCGTTGCCGGGCCGTCATATTTTCGTATATAGCAATCTGATCCGCCCGTAAACCAATATCTCATGTCTGGCGTAGCGGTGATGGCATTGATCGAAGTACTCTGCGGGGCAGCCATGCTGGGGACAATGTCGTAGATGGAGGCCGTGAGGGCTTCTGGTCGCACCTCATAGCGCATCTTGGGGGATTGTGCAGGAGCAGAAGCTTGTCGCGGAGACGCAGAAGTGCGTGTAACAATGGGTCGAGGGTGGGAAGTTGGGCCTGCGCCGTTGATCTGATTCGTCGTGGTCGTGGGCGTACCATCTGAGCTCGCGTTTGTGGTAGGGAGACTCGGCCGTCGTACTTGGGATAATGGCTGATCGGGGGAATCATCCTCATCGTCTTGATCATCGTCACCATTCTCATCTTCATTTTCGTCATCGTCACCCCCCCCTTCGCCATCTCCGTCACCATCTTGGTCGGCATCTTGCTCCCCATCCTCAGCATCGTCCATCAACTCATCCTGCTCATTGTCGGAACTGGCATTGGACCCTGGGAACCAATTGGCTTAGCGGAGAGCTTTGAAGCGCAACAATGAGACTGGGCCTACCTCGGTCATCGTCATCCAGAGAAAAATCGGGCATTTTGAGGGTGTTTGCAGAGAGACTTTACATCTTCCAGGGCGCGTGGGGTAGGATGTGGTAGAAAGAGGTGTTTGCCTGGCCAATAAAGTCGGGTATGGACAAGGTTGGATCAAAATTAGAGAAGTTTTCTTTTACGCGCTTTGTAGATGTATAACTGTCGTATGAATCAGTCAAGTAGCGCAAAGATCAGAGTAAAAGGAGAGGTCAAGAGAGAAACTGTTGGAAATGTATTTATGGTGGTGATGCTGCATATGGGAGGCTGCAGGTGTCTGGAGCTTGAACCGACCCCACATTAGTCCGCTCCGCATTGGTTCCGATCGGATCATCTCAATTGATCCGTTCCGATCATGATAATCCTCACCCTTGGTTCTGCCACCACAGCTTCTTTTAAACCTCTTCCACTTTCTGTCATCTGCAACAGGATCTTGGGATCAAATTATCATGACCATTACTCTCTGCTTTGGTAGTTCTGCACACTAGGACCTGAGCAGTATCAGTCTCAGTATCAGTGGCAGACTCGTGATAAAAGCTCTTAGAGTTGGACAGAAGTTGACGGTCGGTTGATGAAGAGAACCGATTGCGATGACTCTTTGATATCGGCTGACTTCAGCTTCATCTGAACTCTGAGTGGCATTCATCAGTATGTGCTCTGATATATATATGTATATATTTATTTATTTGTACTGTGTGCATATAGATACATATATATATACACTTACCAATGTTTTCCAGTACTGCCAACTGGCGATGGATGATGCATCATCATCTGTCAACTGCGGTAAGTCATCTGGTTCGAAGGTCTCCTTTCCTAGTTTTCTATACTTTGGCGCTGTTAGAAGCATTTCAAGCCAGGCGGCCAAATCTCATATTCTTATATGTAGAGAGAGTCTATATCGGTTGAGAAATACCAGAGATACCGCTCCACGCTTGATGCTTGATGTACGCTGGAGATAGGCTTAGTGGAAAGCTAGGTTGGCCATGCAAGCAACTACCCGTGTTGCCTGGAAGCTTGTTTGCTGACCATTCTCCATCAACTCTCTCATCTCTCTTCTTCACTTTCGATTGCTGCCCCAAAATCATCATCACATGCCTCCATTCACAATACCTAGGTATATGGCAAACAATCATACCCGAGTTCGGCAGTCCGAGGCCGCAACCGCAATTTGCCAGTGCAAGCAAAGGAGACAAATACCGTGGCAGAGCATACCGCAGCAGATCGGAGCAGCATATCAGAGCATAGCATAGCATAGCAAAGTAGCTTTGCTGCTGACGACGAAGGCGAAGGTATCTCGCACCTCATCTCTCCTATCATTGCTAAAGAGTCGAAGCATAGACAATCCGTTTGTCCATTCATCTTCAATTTCCAAGTGCTATGGTGTTGGGCGGTGCGGCAATTGACCAATCAGGTGGCTCCTACACCTTTTAGCTTGACAGCCTCCTCTCGCCCTCCTGGTTGGGCTCGTGGGCTCTCTTCAACTACCACCAAGCCACCTGCAACCATGGACTCCTCCATCCATACCTCCATACCCTCCCTACCTACCAACTTGCACCTCAACTCCTCAACCCCTCAATTCCTCAACCCCTCAATTCCTCAACCACTCTTCGTCAATTTCTTTGCTCTGCATCGAGCATTCCTGTCCACCGCTTTCTCAATACCTGCGACCCTCTACCAAGCTCTTTGCTGCCTGTTTGGGCCTTCCCTTCCGCCGTGAGCGAAGCCGGCTCTGCCCGAATGCTTCAAGCAGGTACCTATAGCTCTCTCATCACCATTATACCAATCCCCCCAAAATTGATCAGCATCAAGTTGCGATGCTTTCGCACAAGTCTTGACTTGCTCTTCTGTCCTCCTCATTCTTCTGGCTCGCCTCCCTGTTTCCTCCGCCGTCGTCTCAATGCTGATCACCACGTGCACGTCTTGCTAATAGCGACTAGATCTGGTGTGCCCTTCTCATACTGCAGTTCAGCCCAACTCTCGATTTTAATTTGGGCGCATTGCAATCTAAACTTTTCTCGAATCTAATCCATCTAATCCATCTACTTCTTTCCAACCACAGCACAAATTTTGTCTCGTCATCCAAAACACCCCGCACAGTATTATGGAGGAATTAAACTCATCGGTAAGTGAATTGATTCCATATTCTCGATCATTGGCCAGTATGCGCTTGAAAATGCATTTCCTTGATATTGGATTCTGCTTCTCTGTATCATGCTAATCCTCGTATCAGAATCGCCCCAAGGCAAGATTTGACTGGAAGGCCAGCGATGACATTCTCAGGGAGCATATCAAGAAGCCGTGGCGTGACCACCTGTATAATCTGAGCTGGCAAAATCTCCCAGAGATACCCAACAAAGATGAAATTTCGCCAAGTTCTGATGGCCCCGGCTTAGATAGTGGTCTCGGAAACTCTACGTGGAATGAATATCGTGCTCCAGGTTATCCAGTAGATTTGCCACAAAATATTATTGATGGTCCCTGGCCATCCGCGCTCGAATACGTCTCGGCGCATTATCGGATTCTGAGAGAGGATTCTATCGCCCCTCTACGAAACGCAGTCAGAGCCTTCAAGGAAACACCCTCTATGATGGAAGACAAGGAGATTAATATCTACACTCAAGTAAGCTTCACTCATCCTTGCACCACTACGTTGCAGACTTTGCTTTATGAGGTTCAATGTTTGACTCCCCTTCTAGCTTACCGTTCAAGGAATCCAACTCAGTCCTATGGGCGCAGCTTTCCGCGTTGAATTCTCCAACGAGCGTGCTGGCAAGAGAATCCGTTGGGAACAGTCGAAGCGTCTGATTCAAGGAAGCCTCGTAGCATTAACCCCACAAGATGATAACTTTCGATCAGTCTGCAAGGTCAGCAGCTTCAGATCCCCCACAAGATAACCCTAACATCGAAGCAAAAGATTGCAGTGATTGCCGCTCGTCCAATGATTGGTCTAGACCAAAATCCTCCACAGGTCGACATTTTCTTCGGAGAAGATAAAGATGCCGTATTTGCTCCTGGTGTCAGTAAGTATCGTGTCTTGATTCCCGTCAAGGTTTTAGTACTGACACGCGTCCAGAATACGTGATGGTTGAGGCTCACTCAAGCTACTTCGAAGCCTCTCGCCACATGTTAGAAGCTATGCAGAAGTTGATGACCGAAAAGTAAGTGTGCCGTTCCACATTCATGGCAGGCCATTAATCCCTTTGACAGATTTCCTCTTTGCCAACACCTCACTCTTCTGGAGACTAATATTTCTGAGCCTGAATACGTTACTCAGCGACCGTTCTTGAACCTCTGCCCACTACTCCCGACCGACCCAATAGCTCAACTCGCGATCGAACTCACGAATTGCAAGAGCATAGACACAATGCGGGAGGATCTGTTTGACGTCAATATCATTTCAGATTTCCCTAGAATCCCCGGGTCTGGCATGGATAAATCGCAAACCCAAGCTCTGAGAAATATGCTTACGAGGAAGATCTCGATTATTCAAGGACCACCTGGTACTGGGAAAACATTTGTTTCTGTCAAAGCTCTAAAGGTTCTTCTTGTCAACATGAAGCCTTCAGACGCCCCTATCATCGTCACAGCTCAAACAAACCATGCTCTGGACCAGTTGTTGAACCATGTTCTGGCATTTGAACCGAATATCTTGCGGCTTGGGGGCAGATGTCGCAAAGAAAATAAAGAGATCCGAAAACGTACTATCTATGAGCTACGAAATTCCTCGGAGTACATGGGCCATGCTGGAATTGGTCGAGGATATGTACGAAGCGCCCGGAAAACAATGGAAAATATCATCGAACTAATCAAGGATCTCATGTACCCGCTCACAAAAGACATTGTTACCATGAGTACCCTATTGAAACATGAAATTGTATCTCAAGTTCATTACGATTCTGTTTGTGGAGAAGACTGGGTAAACGGGTCAGCGGGCGAGGCAACAAGCGTAGATGGTTTTGAAGGCTGTGAGTTGAAACTTTGAAAAGAAGACTAGTATTGAGACTAATACTTGACACAGGGCTAGAAGTGAACCATTTAGAAAGCATCCCTAGGACCTCTGCCATTGACTCATCCCTACCTCTTGAAGATGGAGAGATCGAACAAGAGCATCTCGCGGCGCTGTTAGCTGACGCTGAAGCCCATGCTGAAGGTCCTTCGTATCGCCGGGATCCTGACGATGAATCTTTGACAGGCACTTGGATCAAATTTGTTCGGTCAACAACCGGGATATCTACTGGAATGTAAGTAGTAAAATAAATTACTACTTTTTTATCCTAGGCTCATCGAAAGCCTCTACTCGAGTACAGGCTTTATAAAAAGCATACTGACTTCTTGTAGGGAGGATCGGGATATAAAAAATCTACTCAAAAAGACCAAAGACCTGCACGCGATTCCGATTGCTAAAAGAGGCGACATTTATCGATATTGGCTGAAGAAGCTCGACATTAAGACCAAGAAAGATCTGCGAGGTCTGCTGTCCAGGTATCGCAGTGCAGTCGATGAGCTCCGTTTAGCAAAGGTCAGTTGCTGGCTTCGACTTATGAAGTGGCATATAATTAACTGGATATAGTGGTCCTCGAACATTGGCTTCATTGACATGATTGGTGTCAAATTGGTTGGATGCACCACGACAGGATTGTCGAAATACCGAGGTTTAATTGCGGCACTTCAACCTAGAACAATCTTGATTGAAGAAGCAGCTGAGACGCTCGAGGGCACTATCATTGCTGGAATGGTTGATAGCCTGCATCAGCTCATCCTGGTAGGAGATCACAAACAGCTACAGGCCAACTGCCAAGTGCCAGCTTTGGGTGTGGCACCGTATAACATGAATGTATCCATGTTTGAACGGTAAGCTATGATTCCACACCTTTTCTAGTCCTCCCACCCCTTCCCGTACAAGAACCTAATACGATGACTAGCCTTGTCAACAACAAAATTCCTTATGTTATGTTGAATACTCAACGCCGAATGATACCCGAAATCCGCAAGCTCCTATGCGTCGAGCCAAATCCATTCTACAAGAATCTATACGACCACGATTCGGTTCGAGAAGTAGACAATCGTCCTCCAGTCCCAGGTATGGGCGGAATTAACTGCTACTTCTTCCACCATAAATCCCCCGAAGCCATCAATGCTGATGCTAGCAAATACAATCTGGATGAGGCCAGGATTGTTGCTTGTTTTTTTGTCCATCTTATACTCAATGGTGTGCCTTGTGAAAAGATTGCGGTCTTGACGGTGAGTCATGTCAATCAACCGAGCAGTAGCAGCCTACTAACATAAACTTTAGTTCTATAACGGGCAGCGGAAAATGATTCTTGAGGAATTAAAAAATGAATTACCCCTAATCAGCATCGAGCAGTTCAAATGCTTCACCGTTGATAGTTATCAAGGCGAAGAAAACGACGTTGTCCTACTATCTCTTGTCCGAAGCAACAACACTCTCAGTGTCGGTTTTCTCGAAAACAGAAATCGCGTTGTAGTCGCTTTGTCGAGAGCACGTCGTGGTTTCTACATGTTCGGAAACGTAGATACCTTGGCTGGGGGAGAAGGAGAAACCGAAACTTCAATTGGTCGAGAAGAGCTTTGGACCCCCTTGTTGAAATACATGCGCGATATCTCACGATTCAACTACAATAACGATAAAGGCTTGCCACTCACTTGCCAGAACCACAAGAACGTTGTGCGCATTCAAGATTCCGACGGTTTTGTAAACCTAGCAGGAGGCTGTCACATCAAATGTACGGGAATGTTAGGATGCGGCCATCCTTGTTCACTCAGCTGCCATCCATTCCCACACGAGGATGTGAAATGCCAGGAGCCATGTCCAAAGCAACTTCGTTGTCGGCATGGTTGTAGTACCACCTGTGGAGATACTTGTCGATGTGACCGATGTAAGGTCTTGGTCACAGATAAAGGTGACGAAGTAGATATTTCGGGAATATCCCAGCCATCATCCGAGGTAGCAGGTGAATTTGGCACCGATATTGCTCCTTATCGTCACGAAGATTCGAGTCGCCGTGGAGGTCCGAGTCGTGATATTAGGAATACTCACCACCATAATACTCGACCGAATTCGGGCTGCAAATCAGCGCCACGAACGACTTCTCATGATCGGAAGAATTGGAAGGGTCAAAATGGAGAAGACTCCATCTCTGGCCGGGGGTTCCAGCCACAGACAACCGTACAAGCATGGAAGGATTGGAAGGATTCCAGTCGAGTCTCGCCTCCAAAGATGCCTCCTACAGAAAGTCCTGCAAAAGTCGAAAGTACCATCCCTCGCCGCGTTTATTCAGAGAAATATTACAAAGTCGTTGTAACGGCGGATGGCAGACGAATTAAGACGCCTGGTAGTAAAGCCCCCAAGAACATTGTCCACGCCGGAAACGATGACAGCGAGTTTCCAAGATTGGGTACAGTTCCTTCTATGTCTAGCAATACACGTGTTCCAAACTATTATAACCATCTTGAGGAAGACCTTTACTCGGCGTCACCTCCACGGGCATCGACTCAAATTGGACTTGAAGAGAGCATTAAGCGTATGGGACTTGAGGATGCTGAGCCGGAGGATCTGATGACATTTAGTGATCCAGAGGATGAAGTTTAAGAGGTCAAGCTGCCTTTTGTCAGCCTCGATCATTATACTGATGGTCTCCACTGAATTTGCAAGTGGTGAGAGCGTGGCGTGATTTGGGCGTGTGTCTTGTCATGAATTCTGTAAGCTTTTACTTTTGCGCTGGTGTTTGGGGGGCCAGATGGAATGGGTGTGATGGACCGAACTTTGGCGTGGGGGTGGGTGCGTTGGTGTTTCTGGAGTTGAGGGGAAAGGGTGGTGGTATCTTCTTTATGGAATCTTTTACAGACAGAAAATGGACGGAAGCAAAGATGCTGGGAGGGAATGTATGTATGAAATGATCTTCTTTTCCATGTGGGGAAACACATGGGAAGGGTCTTTTAGTGCGTTGTTGGATTTGTAGTGTGGATAATAGAACTTTGTTTGGATTATCTTGGAGCGAGCTCGCTAGCTGCTGTGGTTGTGTTCGTGTAGGATTACAGTAAGTCTTGGAGGTATAGTATAACACGCTAATATCCTGACCTGGTATAGACCGTATGGTTGCTGATTACTCATTTTTATAGTCTTCTATTTGGGAAGACTAGTAGTTTGTCTTTGATATTATCGTTTTCGCTGGGTGGTTAAGGGATCCGAGAAGCTGTTATGAGGAGAACTACGGGGTTGAAGGAATGGAGAGCAACGTTCGGCGTCTGTAATTCTTTTCCATTCTAGACTCCCCCTCTGAAATAATTCCATTCCTTTTAGGATTTGGCTGGAAGTATTCCGTTCTAGAGGTATATATTCCATAGAATTTATGGAATTTCCAGATGAAATATCACATGACACGGAAAAAAGGCACTCCGGCCCCGTTAACCAATAGGAAGCACCTATTTGGCTTTAGACTAATAGTGCCCCATTTAAGATATGTGACGTAGGGCTCCCCCTGACTACCCTAGACTAGGAATACTGTAATACAGAGAGTCTCTATATTATCTATTATAGTAGGTAATTTATTTATTTTTGTAATTAGGCACGCGGTAGACAAAGTAAGCTATAGAGGTAAGGTACTAACTAATATTCCTCCTATTTACTTCAAAACTACTCCTTAATCCTAAATTTTTAATTAGTTAGAAAAACCTCTGGAATTCTATGGAAACCCTGGAATTCCAGAGCCTAGTTAATAGAAGGATTTTTTGCCATTTTAGAGGTGCTCTGGAAGTATTCCATATGGAATATTCCACCTAGAATTCCATGGAATATAGTTCCATTTGCCGAACGTTGATGGAGAGCGATGATGTTTGTTAAGTTTATCGCTGTAGGAAAGTGCCATGGATTGTGTTCTGGTACTGTAGCATGGTGGAGGATGATGGATGGGGTGATTTATATACTACTCGCTCAAATTTCACGTATAAGCCTTTAACACCCCACATGGGCTCGCGGAGTAGTTGGTAGGAGGTAGGAGGCATAGATGGATGAATGGTAAATGGTTAATGGTAAATGGTAAATGGTAAATGGTAAATGGTAAATGGTTAATTGTAAATTGTAAATGGTAAATGGTAAATGGTAAATGGTAAATGGTTAATGGTAAATGGAATGATCTATTAATATTGTATGTGCAGTGAAACGATTCTTATTGCCTGCGACCAGCGCTGACTTTTCCTTCGTAGGAGATTGATCGGTTTCGCTAAATTCTCTCCTCCTCCCCTTTCTTCCATTCCAAATAGGCAAGCACAACACCCTGCGTATACCCACCAAGCAACTCCTCCATCCCTTCTTCCCTCTCAAGCTCCTTTTTAAGCATGTCAATAGCATCCTTTTCACGCCCCGGACCTAATTCCTCGGCCAACCCCTCAATAGATTCCTTAGTCTCCTTATAGAATCCAGCCTCTGCGCCTTTCCCATCCCCCTCCAGCGTACCGTGAACTTCAAGATTCCTCTCAAAATGTTCCAAGGCGTCGAGAATCTCCTGCTCACAAAACCTATGCTTCGCGATCGATTCCTCGATTTGTAACATCATGTCGTTCTTATCCTCGATGTGGTTTTGTATTGTGAAGTCGTGGAGTTTGTGGAATGCGAGTAGTTCGGGAGTGGAGATGGGATGGTTGGCTTTTCGGCCCTAGATGTCGTTTATGAAGTGGCGCGTGAGCTTTTGGGAGTCTTTGATGATGTTGAGCTGGGTGTTGGGGTATAAGGCTAGGTGGTCTAAGTCGATTGCTAGAGGGAATGAGGATTGGAGGATGGCGAGGAGGTAGGTTGAGCTTGGATGTTGGTGGGGGTCGGAGGAGAAGGCGAGGGGGTTCATTTTTTACAGCTTTGGATGTGGGGTTTGGTGTTCAAGTGTTAGTTGCAAGGTTGTTGTGGAAGAGAAGGGAGAGAGAGAGCTTGTTGTGTTTTATGGGCTTATATAGTGGGTATGGTTGTGAATAACTAACTGGTCGTGACGTTCGTGGCGTGAATGTAATCCCAAGGTTACTATACTACAACCAACAACCAACAACCAACATTCCACACTCTCCCAGCTGAATTACACACACCAACATTATTCCCGTCACATAGCTTAAGCTTCCCTACCCATTTCCCTTTCCCCATTTCCAGTCTTCATGAGCAACACGAACATCTCCCGTATAACCATTAGCAACCGCCATTTCCAACCGCTTTCTCCCCTCCACGAAAACATCTCCAAGATTATCGAGAGCTACCTGTTTATCCCCCATGCATCCCTCAAGGAAGTCCTCCACGCCCTCCTTCAGATTATGATACACTGGATCGGACATCTGCGCTTCATCTCCTTCCAACGTATCTTTCTCCATGAGTTTTTTCTGAACTTGTGGGAGCGTTTCGAGACTTTGTGTGATGAATTCGAGATGTTTGATTTCCTTGTCAAGAGGTTCCAAGATTTCGTTCTTCGTAGATGTGTAATATCTCATTGCTTCTTCATGGATCGCTTCGAAGAATTCTTTGTCCTCTTTTGAGAGGTGGTGTATAGGGGGTCGTTGGAGGAGTTTGTTCATGTATGTTTTTATTTTTTGTTTGTTGTCTTTGATGATGGCGAGGTTGTTGGATGGGAGGAGTATACAGCGGCTTATGTTGGTGGCTTTTGGGAAGTTATGTTGTGTTAGTGAGGTGAGGTAGGTTATTATGGTGGATGTGGACTCTGGTGAGTCGGGGTCTGATTTAAAGGTTTGGAGGTCCGTTTTGTTGGTTTTTTGGGGAGGGGTTGGATGTTGGTTGTGGAGTTTTTGAGAGAGGGTTGTTGTCTTGGGTTTGATATTGTAGCTGTTATTGTGGGTGTTATTGTAATTGAAAGGTAGAAGTGGTGATTGTGAGGAGTGTTGCGATTACACTCAGATGGAGTACTTCACTAAAACATGTTTCAATTATCGAGGTGTCTATTTCCGCCATTCATTCATGAACTATATCTTACTAAATCACGAAGCACACTTGGTACTATTTATCTGATGCCTCTGCTCTATGCCTTGACTTGAATAGTAGTAAACTTATTGTAAAGCTCTATAAAGTATATCCCATTGAAATGAATACTAGAAAGGCTTTGGAGTAGACAAGTTAATAAGACGGCCATACGTGTCGATTTTCAGGAGAGTACAGCCCTCTTAGACGTATCCACAACCAGATTTTTCTTGAGCATCTGAGGGTGATGCTTCATTGTATATTGATTATGTTCTAATCTCCCCCTACAAACACCTTGAAGACTCTCATCACCAGAAGTGATTCATCTCGTGTTTTGACCCACACAAGATTGTTATGGAGTATTAATGTCGCTTTATGATAGCATATGATCATTAGCTAGCGAAGCCCCATCGAGCCTTGCTTGCTCCCATACTTTGGGACTGGCGTGCAATGGCATCTATTAATACGCAGGGACTTAGTTAAACGGATAATGTAGGTATATCGTATTATATGTTTATTAGCGTTAAGTCAAACGAACAATTAATTATATTGCAAATATGTCTAACAGAATACATTGATTGGAAATATCCCTATGAGTATCAGAAGACCAGGGCACAATGTAGAATGGATATGCGAATGATGAGAGAAACTTGCTAGGGGGCGATCAGGGCTCTATTATAAGAGCCGTCTGTCGGCATGGAAGCGTTCGGAATAGGACTAGTGCCCTCCCTAGAATATGCTAGTACCAGGCAGTAGAGTTGATAGTGCTCGTTTCGTAGCATTGAGCCAACCTGGAGTGGCCATGTCGATGACTTGCGTATACCTTTCAATCTTCCATTTATAACCGTTTTGCCAATCATTGAGAACTTGTGATTCTATTTCGCCCCGACTCTTGTCTGGCGCTACATGAGCTCGTGTAATTATGTCCTCCTCAATCTGACCTTCCAGGAATTCTTGTATGTATGGATGGCTGCTGGAGTCTCCGCAGTCCGTTACAGAAATGCTGAATACAGTGTCTTGGTGCATTCGCCAAACTTCACACCAGTATGCCTTAAGTATTCCGCGTCTTTCCTTCAGGACTTCAAGTTGTTTCTCTCCCAGACCATAGATTTTGATGAGATATTCAAGAAAAGCAAAATGAAGCTTGTCGGTAAACTTCCAAGCTTGGTTTGGGTCGAGTTTAGCCTCAACCTTTTCAAAGCGTGTCGGAAGATATTGCCAGAAATATTTCGAAAAGGCGAATTTCTCATTTCTTGGACTAGGTATGATGTGCAGGTCTTTGAGTTCGAGTGTTTCATGGTCGATAGTGGGAAGGATAGGGCTGGGCTTCTCAGAAGCCTGCTGGAGGTTCTCCATAGCCTGATGAAGACATTCTTCAACTTTCTGAAGATCCTTAGAGCGTTGCTCACCAAACTTAGCAGCCTGTTTCAGGTTTTCAGAAACACGCTGGATGCTATCGTCGAATGTTACTGTGAAATAATGCTCGATGAGCTCGTTTCGCAATTCCTCGTCTAGATCATCGATGTCCATTTTGGTGATATGGAGGAGTCGAGGGTTCGAAGTGTTTCCGTGCTCGAGTGCGTTGTCTTGGTTGTTGTGGTTGTTGTAAGAGAGAACAAATAAGTTTTTGGGTTACGCTCCGCCATTTATGTAGTATTCCGACTGTGACTATGTGTGTGTGGGATGAATGATTGGACCTGTTTCGTGGTTGTGAATCAGTTGGTATTGATTGGCCATTCTCAGTCACCCTCCCAAAACACTCATTATGGGATGGTGAATGGTAACGCAGCTTGAATGGATATCTCCTTTGAATGTAGAAAAAGGGCACAGGGAAAAATGCATTCGCATACTTTCAGCAACAGTACCTTTTTGGTCTGAGCCCCACTAGACTAAGGACGTATCCAAGAATATCCAAACAGCTTCAGAGTATTCACTCAGCTCCCTACTGCTTCACTCACGACCAAACACCAGCCAGATTCCCAACACAAAGCTGGCACTTAACTACGACTTACCAGAGGTTATGTGCTTCCTTGAGAGGCTGATGGCCTAAGCCTGTGCTGATTAAACAAATGGTGCTTAAGCAAATGTTGGTGAGATGTACATTCTGGTTATTCATTAGTAGAGATGGGATGGAATAGGAGGTATTTACTACATGATTATATTTGTGGTGTTGGCTTTTGTGTGATGTTGCAACCCGAACATTCTGATGCATCGCTTTCAAGGCTGTATTCGCTACTCTTACTATATCGTCACTTTTCAGGAGTTTCAGCCCTTTTATATTAAATTTGCACATCGTGGCCAAAAACAAAATCCCGTAGTATAAGATTTTCTTATTATTTCTCCTTCTCAGCTGGGTGACTATAATCAATCTAAATCTCCAAAACAATCACTTTGATTGTAAAGTCTTCGGTCAAGTATTTTGACTACTTCTACCTGAAACTTCTAGAACAATCATATACATAAAATGAAGTCAGGCACAGAAGAGACTCTCTGCTGCCGCTTCTTGTGTCCATCGTGAATTTGTCACACTTTTATACTGATCTTCAGACCGACCTTGAATGATCTTGCCGCCAGCGAGCATATCCCCGAACTAACTAACAATACGTTGTTCGATAGAAAGGGGAGAACTCTTTAATTTGTAAAGTAAGGTACAGGTGGGTATTAAATACCCAGGAATGGCGCTAGTACGCATAGTGAGTGAATATCAAATATGTCTAACACAATACAGAGACGAACACTTGCGAATACAGGGTTATACCTCCACCAAAGTTTTTACATTTATTACGGCTGGGAGGAAGTTAATCGACTTCTACTTTACGATACTGCTGGGGTGTGATTTTGGAGCAGTACGCCAGTATCGAGGGGTGGCAAGTTTGTCGGGCTCGACTCCTCATATGAGCTCCTGGTGAGAGCATCCCCCCTCGAAACCGTCATAAATTGTTTCTAAGGCAAACTCTAGGGCGTGAGAGTGTATTCAAGAAGTTGGCGAGATCACTTTTCGGGCCACTCAGAGAGCGGCTTCCTACGTAATAGCGAGAATAACGTACTTCATAAGGAGTCCGGATTTACAAGCAGTCCGGATTTTTTACCCCACCATTGATCACCCTACACACTTTCAATCTACATAACTTACCCAATTATTGTTCAAATGTCTCGAAAAGAAGGTCAAATTGCTCTTGCAATCAGTGCATACAATAAGGGTCAATTTACAAGCTTAAAAGCAGCTTGTACAAGGTACGATGCGCCATATTCTACTACTTACGACCGCGTCAAGGGAGCTATTCCA